AGCTTGATACGAAAGAAGAGACTACAGTACACTTTAAGTTACTGATGAATAAATAATCTGTATTACAGATTACCCATGCTATAAGAGCAGGAATAACCACACTAGCTGCATGCAGAACCATGAAATATAAGCACGATTTCAACACATAAAGTCAACTTGTGTCCTAAACAGTGCTTCCAAATCAGCATGTCTTCCAAAGGGCTCAAAAGCAGAATTTACTCAGCAGCACAGTAAAGAGGCACTTTACTGCATCTTGTAGCACGCAGTACTGGGGTAGTCTTCTTCCCACACCTATCTTCTCCTAGCCTGTAATTTATGTATGGACATGAAATAAAAAAAGAACCAAAAAGGTAGGCAACTATAAAAGAAAGAATTTTGCACCACAGACATTACACACTTTGCTGTTATTAGACCCAGAACATTTGAGAAAAAGCATGTCTTTGTCAAGGTTTCAACACATCATTCTTCCAATTGAAATGCGAATTCACAGTAGATGCCTCTTCATGTTTCACTCATTTGTCTCAGAAATTTTCCAGCAAAACTTGGGAACTTTTCAGTTGACATTCAGGCTGTTGGCTGAAACTTTTGTAATAAGTGGGGAAAAAAAACCCAAAACAAAACAAAAAGATATAAAGAAGACTTCTCAAAGCTTGATCATTTGTTACACAGGAAAAAAGAAAGCCTGAGTTCTGCATCATAATGTGAATTTCATTAAGCCAAATCTTAGTATAATGGAAAATGAACATTTCAAAAATTCCTATTTCACCTTTCAGAAAATTCTCTTTAGGATTAAAATATAAAATTCAGTAACAAATCCAGACATTCGTATTTATAAGAATAAAAGAACTACCTTTTAGCACTAATCTGATAAACACAAAGCAGCACATCAAGTTGACAAAGTAGCTCCCTAATAACTTATTTCAATACAACAAAAAATATCATAAACTGGAGACCTTCACATAAACTATTTGGACAAAAATCTATGCTGCAACACTAAATCTTCAGCAATAAATGAAGTTTCTGAAGGCCAAACATGAATAGCAATAATCCAAGATAATTTCTGTACCTCATGAAGTGATTTAACATTACTTCACTCTCACAAATTACATTTTAGCCTACACCAAAGAAAGGGCAAATAAAACCAGAAGTATTTACTGTTGCAGTATACCACAGCACATGACAATTATTTCCACATACTTCATATGAGTTTTCTTTCAGCAAAGAAGGAATTAGTTACATGCCAAATAAATATTTTATCTCAGTAGGTGCCACGTCTCTATAGCTGCTTCAATTTGTTAAGTTGTGGCACACTGTATAGAGGACAGGAGCAGCTGTGTGTATTGCTATGTTTGAAGATAATCCCAATGTGTACCAAGACAGACCTCCAAAAAAGGAGAGGAAAAAAGAAAACAACAAACATGTGTAACAACCAAAAAAACCCCCTAGTTGTATAAAAATCTTAAATGAACTTAAATGGAGCAACAGTTATAGAGCACAGCCACCTAGCAACCTCTTAGTTTTCTATGGGACTGAGTTATGAGATGTCTGGAAGAGCTGTAATGAACAAACTGGCCTGTACTCATCTCTTAGCTGTTGTTTTTAAATAAACTAATCCCTTCTTTTGGGAGGGATAACCTCAGATGCTTCAGCAGTTCTACAGAATAACCTCCCTATTGCTGTGGCTTTGACCTATTCTACTGCAATACTATTTTTCACCCAATACAGCAAAGTGTTTTAATTCAGTTATTTTTTTATTCCTACAGCAACAGTCTATTGTTCTACTCTAAATGGATGAACACGACTCCCTTTCCCAGCCATGTTTCTGAAGGGTTTCCAAATAAGTGTAGGTGTTCTTCTGATACTCCCTGAAGAGTTTTAGTAATGTATTTTGTTCCAGTATATCATCGGCTCCTCCAAGGACACTGCATCTGTCATGTTATGCAAACATGCAAATATTTCAGCACATATCCCTTATAACCTATCTTGACCTTGGAATACAGAAATAGTTAGGTATACACAGAAGAAGAATCATTGGTGGAAAAGAGCAACCAGTATACATACATGATGTACAATTTAATTAGGCCAAATGGGGGGAGAAAAAAAAAAAGGCCACATCCAGGAAGCATGTGCAAATGCAGTTAATTGTGTTCAAGCATTAAGAACAGGATTGAGGCATGCTGTGTTTGTTTTAGGGCAGCCAGACATTACCCTCACCGAACCCATACTGCAGCAACAAGCAAGCAACAACTCAAAAGTTTTGCTGTGGTGGCTAACAATCATCACACTACCCTGAAAGCAAGATTCACATAAATATCTAACAATCTCCTAGAAACATTGAACTCACCAATCTATCACTGTCTGGATTTTCCTGAAAAACTCTCTCCTTAGAGTAAAGATTCTGCCACCTATGCTCACAAATTATAAATGGTACCTCTGTACACATGAGGTATTTTTTTATACAATTTACCTGGTGTTAAACCATATTCACCAGTGTTAAAAT